GGGTGTAAGGAATGAATCTGGTTATTGGACCGATTTTGATATAACTGATATAATCGGATAAAAATAAGTCAATATGCATTTGTGTATTACTTTCAATAATTGCTATGGAATACATTTGTTAGAATAAGATAATTTTTCTGGAACCATAGCAAACCAGTTCGTGCACGTTCTCACAGGGATGTAGATGCAAATCTAGGCCTGTCACGTCCTGATCCACGTCCCAAACTTTCCTTCCTACTGTCTCACATGATGTAAAATTACATTTTAAAAAATGTGATTTTAGGGGGGATTAGGATTCATTTTTGCTCCCCGCAAGTTCTCCTTTGCCTGAAAACTGTCAAAGCAAATTTCCACAAAATGTATTTTCATACGCCACGTCACACAGAGAAATCCATTTTCTTGTTTCCATGTCTTTTTTCCCCTGTGCTTGAAGAACTAAATATAACACTGTAGTGTACCATTTTTAACCTCTGACGAATAGAGACCATATTTTCAGAAGTGTTTTAAAATGAATGTTACCATTTTAAATTGAACCTGTAAGCTTGTTTGTCGATTGATGTAATTAAAACATCTTTGAAGGACTGAATGAAGTGGATAACTGAGGGATCAACCATTTAATGTTTCATAACTGAGCAGATGTGCTAAACGCCTATGACTTACGAACACAAAATAACTTTAGGCACATTTCAGTTATGTGCACCAGGGGCATTTCCTCTGAGGAGGCAAGGGAGGCAGTGCCTCCTCAAAATACTGGATGAGAAAAAAAAATGTATTACAAAAATAAAAACGCCAATATTATAAAATATAACATTAAAAAGTGTCTGTCCAACAGCGACACCAGCAGGTAATGTTACAGCAGGAGTCCGAGACTCTCTCGCCTCCCCTGAGCCCACTGAGTTTTAACAGACCCCCTAAAGCAGGGGTGTCAAACTCATTTCCTGGAGGGCCGGAGCCCTGCAGAGTTTAGATTCAACCCTAATTAAATACACCTGGTCCAAGTAATCAAATCCTTCAGGCTAATTTGATAACTACATGGTATGTGTGTTGGAGCAGGGTTGGAACAAAACTCTGCAGGGCTTCGGCCCTCCAGGAATTGAGTTTGACACCCCTGCCCTAACAACCCCATCTCATGAAAGTGCGTATAAATAGTACGCTAAATAAAAACGAAAACTCGTGGTATTGATACGCAAAAATGGACTTTGGATTGTATATGCTAAGCGATGGGTAGGATTAGGGTTGTGGGGTAGATGCATATCATATGTATGCGAAAACTGCTTATCATATGCAGGCGAAAACTGGGTATTATATGCACGCCAAAGTCCATTTTTGAGTATCAATACCATGAGTTCTCGTTTTTATTTGGCGTACTATTTATACCCATTTTCATGAGACCGGGCTTGCCCTAAAGCATGCTGCAACTTTGGTGAGGGGTAATTGAGAATAAATGGGGGAAAGTCACGTGAGAGGATGCAATGCCTCCATCGGATATGATTGGATATGACTGGTTATGTTCGGCTGTGATTGGTTCATGCGATAAATCCCACCTATTGTGTTTGTGCGCATTCGCGAATCAGTCTGAATGAACAATATAATGGCATTAATGGGAAGACTAATTAAAAAGTAAGTTAACAACTCACACGCGAATGGTGCGTTCAAGTCATGTCGGATAGATCGTATTTACGAGTTGAACGCACATGAACGCCACCACAAAGTCGTTATTACGAGTGGGAAACTCGAAATTTTCTTTAAGCCCCGAGTTTCCGAGTTGGGGGCGTGTCAGTGAGAAAACGTGTCGGATGCAATGGACGGATCCAAAGACTAGATATGAGTACGAACGTCCCAGGAGGACTTGAACGCAGCATTAGATATAACCACTTTGTTGTCAAAATAAGACTTAAAATGGCGCGAAAACATGATCTGTGGGAGTTTTTAGTGAGTAATCAGCTTGGTGAAATTTAAAGTAAATCTTCATGTCTGTGACCAATATTCACTGAGCTTTGATGACTGATGATCAGAAGAAAAAAAAAAAATCAAAAATAGTTAAAAGTTAACTATTAAAAAGAATAGCTGAACATAAGTTCACAAATAAAATATATTGTATGAATTGTTACTGCCATGAGTTATTATTTTGGAATAAATGTAAAATGCTTAAAAACACTCAAACTTGATGAGATTCATTGGCTTTAATAAATAGAATATTGATTACATTGTTAATGTAAAAATATAAAATAGAATTGTTGTTTTATTCCTGATAATGTAAGTAATGTTTATTTAACCAACAAAATGTGACTGGGACATGAATTTACATTTGATTTAAAAAAAACACTGTACACCACTGAAGTGCACATATCTAATGGGCTAGATATTTTTAATATTGCGTAATAAAAGCACATAAGCTTTAGTTAGTTCCAGTTATGCCAAACACTTGAGGACATCAAGAGGAAACTTTGGCAATGAATTGGTTAACTTTGCCTAATCTGAGTGACTTGGCTGCTTGTTTACCAAGATAACAGTTCACTGTCTCCAGCTGTTCCCACTGCTGTCCTCACACACCCTCATCATGAGTGTATATGGCAGTGAGGACTGTTTACTTAGAGTGGACAATATGAAGAGAAAAGGAATAAACTGTTTTGACAGAGACTGCAGCTATTTCTATCCCCTCAGCGACATGTGACTCACTCCCTCACTTCATCTTCACAACAGACTCCATCACGAGTTATGCGTTATTTTGTATTTCACCAGAAAATACAAACTAAGTGAGGGAATGAGGGTAAATTGGGACACAATCTAGACTATTTTGACAAGCTGGGTCATCGTGCGATTTACATTTTTTATTTATTGGTCTGAACTAAGTGTAGTCGTGACTGCAAAAAAGTGCCCCATATTACTGTAATATATATGCAAATTAATCCAAACCACTGCATCTGTACATACAGTATGGCACATGAATAAGCATGTACAGCTTAAGTGTAAAACTAGTGGAGTAAAAACAAAGTATTCAGAAAAAAAGTCAAAACTGTGAGATGTAAATTCGGAACTGTGAGAAAAAATGTCAGAATTTTGAGTTCGAATTCTGATTTCTCAGATTTGCGAATCTCGCAATTCTGACTTTTTCTTTGAATTGACAAAAACAAAGACACAACTATCTATTATTTATTTATTTCCCTCGCAAAATCTGGCTTCCATGCAACATGGTGGAGCCCATGAAGGGGCGACTGTAACAAAACAGCTTTATCTAAAGACACAGGTGACTGAGTCTTCATCTTATGTGAGTGTACATCATTTAAAGGTCACACATTTTACGCCTTTCTGGAGTTTTATTTTAAGTCTTGATGTCCTTAAGAATATATATTTGCGGTATAAGTACCAAAAACCATCTAAATATATTTTTACAGCTCCTCTCTCAGGAGCTCTGCTGAGAACAGGTCGATTTTGGTCTGTCTAATTAATATTCATGAGCCTCTCTTCTGATTGGCCTGTTGCGCGTTTGCTGCGCACACTTCTTATCAGTAATGGTTCAATAAAGTATTGTCTTTTGTTGTTATGGGCGCGTCTACAGATTTCTTGCCATATGTCTATGTTTCTTGCATCTCACGACTATGTCGTGTGTAAAACAACAAACTGACGATTTATATATAATCATTTGTAATTGTATATACATTGTTGTGATTAAAGTAGCTGTAAAAATAGTTTCCTGCTGAAATTGAAATGTATATACAGTGGGTACGGAAAGTATTCAGACCCCCTTAAATTTTTCACTCTTTGTTATATTGCAGCCATTTGTAAAAATAGTTGCCTGCTGAAATTGAAATGTATGTACATCATCATGACTAGATAGATACGGTGAGTTTGTCTTTACTGTACACGTTAGATGTGATCACCTAATAGTAACAATCCTGTCAGATCGTCCATCCTTTGAGTATAATGTTACAGGTCGACCGATCTGGTTTCGTGGTTAAAGTTAACCTTTTCGAAATGTTTCCGTGTTGTCGTTGCTCAGCAATAGCATGGACGCGATGTTGTCTGGCGGTTTGGCAAAAGGAGAGTGGGACGGTGGGCGGTGCTTGGGGTGGTGACTGAAGGCGGTGACTGTGTAGTTCTGACGTCAACTTTTTACGGAAGTCGTGAAAAATCACAGCTACTTTATGCAGGCTGTGTGCATTTTACTGTGGACTGACTGTTTTGAAACTTATATGGTAGTTAAATAGCCCCTAGACCTCAGTAATCGTGAAAAAAGCCAGGAAATTTCAGTTTTGACAATATGGGACCTTTAAAGAAAATGTTAAAATATAAACAGACAATGATATAATTGTAAAAATTTAAATTAATAAATTGTAAAGACACCTTTAGAATGAGAAATATAACCATTGACACTGATTACATATTGTACTGATACTGTACTATCACTAACACTAATTACATAAGCACATCATGATTATTGATGGGTTTTCACTGTAAAACAACACACACACACAAAATAAATGCTGCAATTTTCAGAAACACTGCAGCAGTTATTTTGCATAACCCAAAATAAGGAAAAGCCCCACAAAGTTCTGGATAATGATAATGATGAGTTGAATAATGATAATGATGAAGAGGAGGTCTTATCAGTAATGGTTCAATAAAGTATTGTCTTTTGTTGTTATGGGCGCGTCTACAGATTTCTTGCCATATGTCTATGTTTCTTGCATCTCACGACTATGTCGTGTGTAAAACAACAAACTGACGATTTATATATAATCATTTGTTTTTGTATATACAGTACATTGTTGTGATTAATTGTGGCTGGAACAATAGTGTAACTGTAAAAATAGTTTCCTGCTGAAATTGACATGTATATACATCGGGTACGGAAAGTATTCAGACCCCCTTAAATTTTTCACTCTTTGTTTTAATGATATATCCCCCAAAACACTATTATTTCCTGTAAGTGCATCTTTTAAGGACAGAGTAGGCCTACACCTTTAAGACTCTGGCACATGAGAGCTCTTGATAGTAATCGCGCTATAGGTATAATGCATTTCTCAGTTAAGTGTAAATGAAAGCGCTCATATGAGGACCGGAAAAGTTGTGCTGCACCTTACAAACCCCACACACAACTCAAAGTATCACCCATGTGACTGAGTACTCGGGTTATTTCCTGGCCACCGTGGCCAACTTTTGTCAGAGGGTGGAGTTCAATGAGTCGAATATACATCACTGCAGCAAATTAAGAATCGCTGTCATCGGGTTCCTCACAAATCTCATCATGTCCACGGCGTTCAGGTCTTGCTTTGTGCTCATCGGCTTCATATTGGCGTACATCACGTATTTGCTGTTGGGAGCGCTTGTTTTCTCTGCCATCGAGCGGCCCGTCGAAGAGACCCTGAAATCAGACCTGAACTCACTGAAAGCCGAGTTACTCAACCTGAGCTGCATCAACGCCACGGCTCTCGAAACTTTCTTGGAAAAAGTTTTGCAAGCGAATAAATACGGCGTGTCGGTCCTTGAAAATGCCACCGTCCGGACAAACTGGGATTTGGCGTCTTCTCTGTTCTTTGCAAACACGATGGTCACGACAGTGGGTGAGTTTCACAGGAACAAAGTTGAACGGATGTTTGTTTGATGCTGCTCATGTCGGGCAGTTATAACATTAGTAGTCCATTTTATCTGAAGCGAGTGTAGAATACTAGTTAGTTCATCTCAGAGAACATTACAAACATTACAAGTTCTGCAAAACAAAGTTCGCCAGAACTGAACAAACTACTGTAAGCAAGTGTAAACAGTAAAGAGTGGAGCGTTTATTTCTGTTGCAGTGCTTTTAAATTTCACTAAATGCAAATCATTTTTTCTATAAAAGAATATAGCAGTGTTACAGTAATATGCCTAGGCACGTATCACGTATACCTTTATTTGCACAATGGCAAGATTAACAGGATGTTAAACAATATGAAAATTTTGGGAAACAGGGTATTCTTCCAAACGTTTTGATTCATCTTCGTGTTGGACTTTTTCCTACAAGATGCATATTTTCACGTAAAAAAGACTGTATACTAAAAACTAGACCGTTCATTAAAATAAAATGGATTAATAACCTAATTTCTGACAGCACAACAAAACCTTAGTTCAGGGATTCTCAAAGCTATTTGTCAGCTGAACTCCTTTGACCTATAATATTTACGGTACTTAAAGATTTTAAGTTAGTATTTCAATAAATTGAATTAATTGTTCTTGGCTCTCCAATGTTAGTTGTCACATTGTTATGCAGATAAAATATTGAATCTTCTTCAATCATGTTAGTTGTGAAAATATATCAAATTCACCCCTTTAATTATGTTTAAAAATGTGCATCTTTACAGAAATCACCTGTAAATGATAGCAAGTGGAGTATGGTTTCAAATGAGAAGTAATTCAGTATTTTTTTTGTTTCCCATAACAAAGGAGTATTGGAACCAAGTCCAGTGTTGAATGAATGTAGTGCTTTGTACTTAACAAACCTAATTTCCATTTATCAACTTGATCAATGTGATAAATATTTATGGAATTGATATATTGCATCCATGCCTTACAAATAGCAGGAACTTTGTCCAAAAACACAAAAGTGACAACTCCTAGTTATCCTATAGTATATAATATCCAGTAGTTGTAGATTTTGTTTTAAATATTACTGATTTAATGACATATTTAAGGTCAGCTCTGTTTAGATCAATGTGTACGTGATTAGTCTGGGAATGGAAATTAAGCTATAGTGTAGTATTTGGAGTGCAGTGTATACATAGCTTAAATACTTTTCATGTACTTGTGAGGTGTTTAATTAGAATAACTACCATATGTTTTTCATCCATTTTAATTGTAGCTGTCATCTGCACCTAGCAGTAGTTTGAACAAATACCTCTTAATTATATTGTAAGGCTATAAATGACTTTCTTTTTGAGAAATACATTTGTCCTTGTCATAGATGGAGAAAGAAAATTTTTTTTGCGTACAATGCAAATGTGTACCGTAACATTCAAATTGTAGTGTGCATGAGTGACCGCAGTTCCATGTTTAGTGTATGCACATTATCCTTAAAAGTAATGTTAAGGTTATTTGATGAAATGCTTGTTTTTGTCAAACCCACATATGACTCTTTGTCACTCTTCTAAGTTTAGTTTGTCCTTGTCAAATTTTTTTTGCGTACAATGCAAATGTGTACCGTAACATTCAAATTGTAGTGTGCATGAGTGACCGCAGTTCCATGTTTAGTGTATGCACATTATCCTTAAAAGTAATGTTAAGGTTATTTGATGAAATGCTTGTTTTTGTCAAACCCACATATGACTCTTTGTCACTCTTCTAAGTTTAGGCATAGTGCAAGCTTTGTTTGCTTTAACTGGACTTCTCAGTTTAGGTCCTGCAAACAGTATCATGGGAAATCAATCCTTTGACCTGTGTGTCTGTATAAAGCTTTCCTTTCATTGAGCATGTTAACCTGTGTAGCTGAACCCTTCTCTGTATTACATTACACTAAAAGCTTTATGCACTCAGGAAATCATGTGCATTGTATGATTAGCAATTAAGATGAAGGGTTATTTCACCCAAAAATAAAGATTCTGTCGTCATTTACTCACCCTCAATGTCGTTCCAAATCTGTACGACACACAAAAGATATTTAGAAAAATGTCTCCGTTTAGTTTTTCAATCCATGCACTGAAAGTCAGTTGGGTCCAAAGTTGTTTTACATTAAGAGATTACATTTTCGAAAGTTTTAAATATGGATATTTTTCTTACACAAATGCATCGCTTCACTTCAGAAGGCCTTCATTAACCCCCCGGAGCCGTGTGGAGCACTTTTATGATGGATGGATGCACTTTTTTGGGCTTCAATATCACAACCCCCATTCACTGCCATTATAAGAAGAGCATTTTTAAATAACACTGATTGCATCCGTCCAGTGTTGGGGAAAGTTACTTTTAAAAGTAATGAATTGCAATATTGTGTTACTTCCTAAAAAAGTAACTAATTACGTTGCTTAGTTACTTTTTATTGAAAGTAATGCGTTACGTTACTTTTGCGTTACTTTTAAAATCTGGGCTGGGCTTGCTTGTTTGCTTTTAATATAAAAAGTTCTATTTTTGGCAAATGTAAAAGCAATCTGATTTGTTTTTGTGAGTGAGATGAATTAATGCATGTTCACATTTATTCTAGAACTAAAGTAACATCTTACTCCCAATTTCTCTCAAATAGGGCACAGGAGAGCTTTCAATCAAATAATGGGGGGGAAAAAAGTAACTAGCGTTACTTATTTGAAAAAGTAACTCAGATATTTTCTTGTAAATTAAAAAGTAATGCGTTACTTTACTAGTTATTTGAAAAAAGTAATCTGATTACGTAACTCACGTTACTTGTAATGCGTTACCCCCAACACTGCATCCGTCTATATACTATATACCGTCTATAAGCCTAGGATGGCTTGAGGGTGAGTAAATTATGGGGTAATTTAGATTTTTGGGTGAGCCATCCCTTTAAGACAACTGATCGTATCTTCATTGCTTTTTGAGAACAGTCTAGTCTCAATTAGAACGAAACATTTATTTTTAAGTGTGTACTTTTGAAGGGTCAGATGTGAGCATCAGACTTAAGACTTTTTGCAACAATATTAATACATTTTGAGAATCGCTTAATCTCGCTTGGAACAAAACTGACCAACAATGAAATCTCTTAATAGAACAATACTGACCATTATTTAAGGGGCGTTTACACGGAAAACTAACTGAAAACGGAAACCTTTATGCGCCTTTATTTGCCTTTCATTTACACGACAACTGTGTTTTGAGAGCCTGACTATGCAAACTTTTGAAAATGGGTTTCAAAGGGCAAGTTTTTGAAAACGATTCCATTATAATCTTCGTGTCAACTACGAAAACGCAAATTTGTGAAATGGTGATGTCATGCACATGCATATTACATGCTCAGTCTATACTAGTAATGAGTATGTGCACAGGTGCGTAGTGTTTCTTTGCAAAGTAACGTCGCCAACTACTGGCCTGGCATGAATAAAACTAAATTTTTAGTCATTTTCGTGATCCATGTGAACTGGCGTAATTTTGACAACGTTGTTATTTGTATGCTAAATTTTTCAAAAACGCTAAGGAAAACGTTTTTAGTACAATCGGTGTCATGTAAATATACCCTCAATCTCTTAATTGAAGCTGAATGTTCAGACGTGTGGACGAGTCACTGCAGCACTGATATATGTGCTAGACAACACTATAAATACAGTATAGCTAGAGCTAAATCACTTGTTCTATAATGTCTTATCACTCAGCCGTAAAACTTGCTCTGTGGTAAAGCACAAAGGCATTATAGACATAATAATATGCATTGTGAAAAGCGCTTTACAAATAAATTTGGCTTGAAGTGTTTTTTCTGTTAGAACCACTCCTCTCCAAGCATTATCTTCTTCTTTCCTTCTCTTCCAGGATACGGCCACACAACGCCGCTCTCTGATGTGGGTAAAGCTTTCTCCATCGTGTATGCTTTGATTGGAGTGCCCTTCACCATGCTAGTGCTCACAGCCTGTGTCCAGCGCCTCATGCATCCTCTGACCTACGGGCCAATCTCCATGTGCCAGCGGAGGGCAGGCCTGCAGCAACGCACCGCCAGTGTGGTGCACTTTATCGTACTGCTGGTCCTGGTGGTGCTCGGCTTCTTTGTGGTGCCTGCGCTGGTGTTCAGTACCATAGAAGAAACCTGGTCTTTCTTAGACTCCTTCTACTTTTGTTTCATCTCACTCTGCACTATAGGACTGGGAGACTTTGTGCCAGCAGAAAAGCCAGGACAGAGACTAAGAGCTTTGTACAAGATTTCAGTCATGGGTAAGAGAAGTGACTTTCCAATTTCAGTAATGCTGGTTTCTTTTAGAGAGTATTTGCTTATATGTACTCTAGAAACTAATAAATTAAAAACATATATACAGTGCTGCTTGAAAGTTTGTGAACCCTTTAGAATTTTCCATTTTTCTGCATAAATATAACCCAAAACATCATCAGATTTTCACACAAATCCTGAAAGTTGACAAAGAGAACCCAATCAAACAAAAGATTTGAAAATATATACTTTGTCATTTATTTATTCAGGAAAATGATCTAATATTGCATATCTGTGAGAGGCAAAAGTATGTGAATCTCTAGGATTAGCAGTTAATTTGAAGGTGAAGTTAGAGTCCATCTGTTCGGAGGTGTTTTTAATCACTGAGATGACTATCAGGTGTCAGTGCGTGCCCTGTTTTATTTAAAGATCAGGGATCTATTAAAGTCTGATCATGTTTGTGGAACTGTATCATGGCACGAACAAAGGAGATCTCTGAGGACCTCAGAAAATGGCATGCATGGCATAAAATTTAAAAACAAAATAAAATGAACTATATTTAATTTAGAATATATTTATGTATTTATTTTTAAATAAATAATCAAATATTTTTACATTTTATCAGCTTCTGGTGTCAGCATGACCTGTACAGTAATTTCCATCTCTTAAGAGGATTAGAGCTGAAGTTATGAAGGTCTTTTATGACCTAAACAGTCATGGAGTGCCCACGTTTTACTGTTATGTAATTCATAGTTTTATGAAGTCATGCATTATGTTGTATAAAAATATGAAATGTCTACAAAGCAGCAGCCAAATGTTTTTTTTTTTAATGCAGTTTTAGGTGTTGATGTCAGAATCCCATGTAATGTTTCACATTCGATGGTAAAATCCATATATATATATATATATATATATACACATGCATATACAGGTTTTACTAGATATATATTGTATTACAATTTTTTATTTTTTTTTTCTGTTCTTCAACGCTCTGAAATATTTCTGCTTGTAATTGTACCTGAAATTGTTGTCTGAATTGTTTGGTTACATGAGTTCTCGTTCTTTTCTCTTACAGTCTACCTGTTTGTGGGATTGATGATCATGTTCCTGGTCCTTCGTACTTTCCACAAGCTTGCAGATGTGCACGGCTGGACTGCTTTCTTCCAGCTGCCAAGCTACGAGGAGGAAGATGAGGATAAAGAACCAATAATAGAACAAGAGCCTGACGATGAATCACCTGAGGCTGAGAAGGCCTCAATTAAGCCTCTGGATCCCAGCTGTCAAGTGTCCTACAACTCCATCAATGGATAAAACACCAGATCTCTCCACATTCAGATAAGGTCACTTATTTTCACAGTGTCCTGCACTTGTAAATTGTCTGGACATGTAACACCAACACGTTGCAATTTATCACCCCAAAGGTCAAGACAATCGAGTATGAATATGTGCAATACAATACGCCTCACTGTTGGACAGAACCGCTTCTGATGCTTTGTAGGAACGAAGCATCTGAGCAGAATATTTTCATGAACCAAATAACTTTATTTTTACTTTTTTTCTGTTTGGAGTTGCCAAATCTGATCTTCAAGACTATAGGGATGTTGACATTGCTTTAGGAAGTGGAAAACTTGCTCATTGTGTCCAAAGTGTGAATCTTCTTTAGTGTTGTTTTGTGTAGGATTCGTAACTGATGATGCTTTTCAGAATTTTTTTGTTGCATGGACCAAGACTGCTCTGGATCATAGAAACAGGAAGAGAATGCTGCTGCTTGCCACCCGTTCAATACTCTGTTATTCAGTGAGTTTGAAATGAATTGTTTTCATAGCTAGTTAATGGTGGTTCTCGATGTCCAGTCATGTGGAGAACTTCAGATGCACTTTATAATTGGCTTTTTATTTAGGTTTGTGCAACCATTGGACAGCCAGTGATTATACTGGACACAATCTCTTTGTCTTTATTGTAGTACTGTACGTTCTTTAAATATTCTTTGTATCATTGCGATTGTATATTCAATGTTGGATGGTAGGGAACAAAAAGGTCTCTGATGTTCACAGTCAGAAGAACAAAATGTGTTTTAAGATGTGCATGCACAGAAAAATACAATTTTGTTTTGGTATTTTGTGACTTGATGCATTTGCATGGGCAGGTGTGATGAAATATAAGTCTGTGTAGCTGTGGAGTTAAAGGAAGTTTGTACTTTACACACCCTGTTTTATCGCTCTCTTTAAATAGGTTTCATAAAAAGCTGTAATAAACGTGTCAGTATATAGATACATTTAAATAACCTACCACTCAATCAAAATAATCCTTCTCTTCTATAAGCGGAATAAAGTTCCCTTTTGAACGTCTCCCCCGTTGCATCACTGACACTTATGGGGAAACTCCTGTTTACTCTGAGTGTTTACATGAACAACAATATTCCGATATATTAACACAATTAAGACAATACTCTAAGAATCTACCATGTAAACAGAGATTTTTGATTACTTTAATCCGGCTAAAGTCATACTCGAAGTAAACACAAATCGAATTAAGACGTGGAGAATTTCTATTTTATTCGCAGTTTAGACATGTTATTCTTTGTATCATTGCGATTGTATATTCAATGTTGGATGGTAGGGAACAAAAAGGTCTCTGATGTTCACAGTCAGAAGAACAAAATGTGTTTTAAGATGTGCATGCACAGAAAAATACAATTTTGTTTTGGTATTTTGTGACTTGATGCATTTGCATGGGCAGGTGTGATGAAATATAAGTCTGTGTAGCTGTGGAGTTAAAGGAAGTTTGTACTTTACACACCCTGTTTTATCGCTCTCTTTAAATAGGTTTCATAAAAAGCTGTAATAAACGTGTCAGTATATAGATACATTTAAATAACCTACCACTCAATCAAAATAATCCTTCTCTTCTATAAGCGGAATAAAGTTCCCTTTTGAACGTCTCCCCCGTTGCATCACTGACACTTATGGGGAAACTCCTGTTTACTCTGAGTGTTTACATGAACAACAATATTCCGATATATTAACACAATTAAGACAATACTTAAGAATCTACCATGTAAACAGAGATTTTTGATTACTTTAATCCGGCTTAAGTCATACTCGAAGTAAACACAAATCGAATTAAGACGTGGAGTATTTCTATTTTAGTCGCAGTATAGACATGTACACACCTTAATCACACTATTAACGTCGTGTAGGACTTTTTGCCACATTTTGTGGCAGGATACACACAAGGCAGTGGTCAACCGTTTGACGGCAAACAAAAGAGCATGGCTTCAAGAAAGGCGGCACATTTTTATCCGTCGTCGTCTGTTTGCACATATAGCATGACATATATTTAACTGCACTTGAAGCTTTCGTAAAATTAAAAATGAAACGCCCAAAACTGTATAGTACCGAAGACGAACTGTATGTTGATACGTGAAATTCTGGAGGGAACGTCGGATGGCGTCGCGTGGACGTGTGCCATTAATCGATCTATGTACTAAAACATGTAAAACGGGAACATGAAAGGAATATTCTAAAAGCAACTCATGTAAACACCTTAATCATAATATTGTCTTATTCAGAATAAGGTAAATAATTAGATTACTGATGTCCATGTAAACATTCTCTCTGATACTGAAGCCTGATTTGATCACGTTCGTGTAGCTGCACAAACCAATGGCACTTCAACCCGCCAAAAGGGGTGGAGCCGACTGCTATATAAGTCACCAAATCACCTAGGCAGTCTCAGGTCATGCTCCCTTCACAGGTTGGCTCGATGCCTCCTTTTATGGGCACAGGCGAACCCCTCTCGTTGAGAGCAGTTCATGTGCCAGGCAAACATGCTGTCCGGGGGCAATGTAGCTCCAGGAGAATGGAGACTACTTCCCCCAAACGGTTCAAATGATCTAGTCTGTCTCCGGGAGGGAAGAGGTGGATTTCTTCGCCTCGGAAGACAACTTTTACTAACTTTTATCGCCCGTCATCAGATGGGTCAGGGAAGTCAGATGCTCAGTCCTCCTTGTGGCCCCACTCTGGAAGAATCAGAAGTGGTTCCCCGAGTTGATTCAGCTGCTATCGGCAGCCCCCTGGCCGATACGACTGAGGAAGGGCATTCTCTCGCAAACGAGGGGCATGATTTGGCATCCCCAGCCAGAGCTGTGGAGCCTTCATGTTTGGCCCCTTTGCTGGGAGTCTTTACAGTTCCATGCGAGTGTGACTTATACCATTTTGGAGGCTAGAGTCCCGTCTACAAGACGCCTCTACACCCTTAAATGGTCAGACTTTTCTGACTGGTGTGCAGCACGGAACGAGGACCCATCCTCTTGTGACGCGTCCCATATGCTAACCTTTTTACAAGAGCTACTGGACAAGGGGCGTTCGAAGTATATGTGGCAGCCATCGCGGCGAATCACTCTCTCATGGCTGGATAGTCAATCGATAGAAACGACCTTGTCGTAAAATTTCTGAGGGGAGCTCAGAGACTGAATCCGCCTCTTCCTCATACTGTGCTGACTTGGGACTTATCTGTAGTCCTCCTTCGAGCCACTCCAGTCAGCCGACTTGCGGCCCGTCTCTTAAGGCTGCCCTCTTCACTGCGTTCAGAGCAGAAGTCATCATCACCCTTCTAGCTCTTCCCAATTCAGAGGAAGAGAAGGGTCCTAAACCACTCTGCCCGGTTCGGGCCCATAGAGTGTATGTTGATTTCTACTGGTGATGTCTGTGATATCTTAATCCCCTTTGTAAGTGGAGAAGGTTTTGTTATGTAGTCCTCAGCCTAGGCGTCTTTGGTGTCATTGTTAGCTCAGACTTATAGGAGCCCTCAGTACGAGCGCTTCAGGGCTGGGCTCGCAGAGCGGGTTTGTTCTGCACTTGCTTATAGCACGGCGCTATTGAATGCGTTCCCCATAAGCGTCAGCGACGCAACGGGAGAGACCGTTCGAAAGGGAATGTTCCAGTTACCAGTTACCAACTAGAGCGTTTCCTGTCACCCATGTTGTTTTTGTACATTTTAGGACTAGTTTTAGTGATACTAATAGTGAGATATGACTTTAATAGTTTTTCTATGACAACTCAAATGAAGTATTTTTTTTTAGACTCTTTAAAGTCTTTATGAACCGGAAGTTGCTGCCGACTTTATTTCAGTGTAGTGATGTATTTCCAGCTGAAACGGAATATTGAATAGAGGGCATGGTTTTATTTTTGACCTCCTCCTCTCTGTCTCTCACTCATAACAATCTAACGGTTGGAGGTGTGTTTAAGGATATTCTGCCCAAGTCATCAAACTGATGTCATCAGAGAAGGAATGCCATTCCAGAGCAGAAGTAAATGTTCAGATTTTGATTAAAGATTCCCAAGACAAACATTTTTTTCAGCGGATTAACTTGCACAGATTAATTGTTCACATCAAGACTAGCAATGTGCGCTAGTAAAGTAAATAAAGTCAATTTTGATTTCATGCGGACTTTAAAGGCTTCTCCTTTCCTTGTAAGCATTTTATAGCTTGAAAATGGTATGTCTTGCAGTGTTTCCCCCAGACTTACATTTTATGTGTGGTGGCATTTCCCCCTGGGGAAATGGGAAAATATATATATATACATATATATGCGCACACAGATTCACATTTACAACTCTGCTCTGCGTTAAAACATCGGTCGATTTTCACGTTGGTCTGAACGAAAAAAATAACATTTATAACATCCATAACATTTCTTATCCCTTTCATACATGTTATTATTTCCATTTACATATTAGATATTAAATTAGAAAGTCATCTGCATGGCATTCTGTCCAAACAGCAATTTGACATGTTCTAGTATAGGAACTTTCTGTTTCTTAAATATAATTCCTCATTTGGCCACTTGATGTCACCAAGTACCACTTTATTTAAAGTATAACAATAGAATACAAAGAGTGATTAATATTCACATTATAATTTCATACTGACATACTAAATATTTTGCATAGGCATCTACATGTTCATCTGCTGAAACAGCATCAGTATATTCATAATGTAACATTTACTGCACATTATAATATCTTTAAACCAAAACTATACACAATCTCATATTTTAATGACCTTTGTCTATGAAAAGGACACTCCTAACGGTAACCTGCAAACTATGTAAGGATCCATATTAAATTTAAGGATTTGACTCAATGGAAAGTGCATATTTTAAAGAAAAACATCATTTCATAAAGTAATAAAAAACAGAAATGGCACAGTTGTAAGGAGTCACTTCAAAACAATTGTGTATAACAATCACTGAACTTTGTTAAATGACACTTTGAATGAATCTGCATGCAAGATCGTTTCTTTAAACAGAACAAGAGATGTGCAAGATGACAAAAACTGCTGCTAACCATCAGCTGACATTGAGATCAACTACTTTGAACACGAGAAGCTAGTAAACATGAGGTAGCGAATCATAATCAGTTAGTCTCATTCAATCCCTCATGCTATTCAGTGGAAATTTCTTCAGTACACCTCTATAAAAACTGTTTATAACCTCAACGTCAGGAACATGATATCATCAAAATCAGCTTTGCGGGTACGTTCGCATCAGGATGTCCATAACATGCTCTATCTCCTGGATTTCCCATGTGGCCTGACCATGATAGACTAAAGATGAAGAAGAAGACGCTGATGGGGATTTGGACAGGGATGGTAGATACTTCACTAGATCGTCGGCTGTGACCGAGAAACCTTGCAGAAGGTTCACCTCCGGTTCAAACACAGCCGTGTCGATGTCTAGGAGAAGTTTATCTAGAGCTACATCCTGAGGACAACCTGGACACATCAGCTCCGGTTTGACGGACGATGCCATGTCAGACGTTCTTTCAGTCCTCAGAGGATACTGTGTTAGATTCTCTACAGAGCTGAGCGGAGCCCGTTGAGACGCACAAGGCCCTTGACCGGCATCGATGGCTGTATCTAGATCTCTGAGAATGGAAGAAATAGCTGAAGATAAAGAGAAATCCTCCTCTGAAGTCCAGGCCATGAAATCGTCATCCATATTTTCAGCATTCAGCGAGAACAGAGGTGTATGATGCTCTGCTGGAGGAGACAATCGGGGGAAATCGGCCTCTGGTTTTGATTTGGTGGGAATTTTTACAGCGGACAGTGATTCGACCTGCGCACGGACCTCAGACTGAACCTGCCGCAGTGTGTTGTTGATCAGAACTGACCGTAATAAGCAGGGCTCCACGAGAGCCTGGTCACGGTGGAACTTATCCATGGAGATGTCCAACACGGACTGCAGCTGACTTTCCCACGCAGATCCTCCTCCCTCGTCCTCCCGGTGGAGTTTGCGCTTCTGTCCCTTGGCCACCATTTCTCACACTGCAAAACAACAGTGAGTTTGAG